ATGACCTGAGCCAAAATGAAGAGTTGGACTCTCAACCAACTGAGCCTCCCAGGCACCCCCAGGAAGTCAAATTTCCATCTGCATCAACTAGCCTAGGATTAATAAACAATAACCTTTGAAACAATCAGCCCCATACAGTTAGCATTTGATTAATAACTACTGACTTCCCTAATTATCTTCCCCATTTCCAACTTAGCACCAAATGAAGAAAGCCAAATACGTGTCTCTAATTAATCACATAGGATGCCCCATTTCTAATTAGCCTGCCTCCAACTTCACTGTGCCAACAACAGCATCCAATCACCATATACCTGAAGTCTTCCTTTTTTTCCGACCATAAAGCTTTCTCACTCTCTGCCTTTAAGTCTCTGCCAAATGCAAGTGATGATAGCTAACTCCCTTGCAATAGAAAACTAAGAATAAATAGCCTTTGCTTATTCTCATTTGGGTAGTCTATATTTCCACAAAAGTCAAGGTTTTGGATGAGTTATTCACCTTGATAAGAGTGGTTGCAGAGTTAAAATGGAGAAGGAAACTGTCAACTAGTTTCCATGGCTTTCAGGATGAAAAACAGTGCCTACTATGTGAAATAACACACATATCAAGTAGGGAGAGCAGGTAATGAGTCTAATGACATCAGCCTCAGAGAAGCAGGGTTTTTTTACTTAGTGTTAAAGAGCACTCCATGAAAATGTAAAAGTTTGTTGACTCCAGTTTCAGAGTTCCACACAGTACCAGGAGCAAGATTTGGAGAAAGAGAGTCAAAGGTTGGGTAAGCCTATGAAAGAATCAGGAAAGAGATGTGTATTCTGGAGATGTAGATTGTGGTGTTGACTGAAGCAAGAAGGGATGCTATGCAAAATATTTTGTACCCTGATACTCTCTAAGGTGGTGTGGAAGTTGGTTAGTATCAGATGGGTCCTATAGATTTCACAGCATGTCAGTGGGGGACTCTGGTTACTACTTAAATAAGTCTCAGGTACCTAGATGGTGAAGACCCAGGGTTGTTTCAACTAATATAAAATGGTTGCTCAGGAGAGCTTCAGGCACAGAAATATCTGACAGGAAGTCCACAGGCTAATGGAAATGGTACCTGGAAGGGGGACAGGATGGAATACGGATTAGAATGGCAGAGAAGACTTATTACTTCACTACAAAGATGCCCTCAAGCCCTAAGGTTGGTGGCCCTTCTTCTCTATTACTTCTTTCCTTCCTTCTTCCTTCCTTCCTTTCTCTTTCCCTTCCTTTCTCCTTTACTAAAATTTCCTCACAGCACGTTTTATTACCCCTAGTTCATAGACAGAAAAAATGACTCGCAATTTTGCCTCACATAATTACTTAGTAATAGTAACGAGGAAAAGGGGGAAGAGAAAAGCACACTTGTAGACTTCTACCTATGCTTCTGGAAAAATTAAACATAATCCAAATGACTTCATTTTGGCTTGTATTTATATGCAGGGTCAGCTGTGATGAGTAATACTAGTAGATAAGTGCTGTAATCATCAGGAATTCTCTCTACACAGTCTTGTGAAAGCAACTCACCAAGAGGTTTCAGTTATTTGTCATATCACATACTTGGTGAGAGTCCATTTGCTTTTCTATACTGCCACTTGGGCTTTTTAACATTTTAGCATACAATCCCTGAAGTCTAAACATATAGATACAGGGGCACCTAAGTGGCTCAGTTGGTTAAGCATCTGACTTCAGTTCAGGTTGTGATCTCATGGCTTGGGAGTTCAAGACCCACATCAGGCTCAGCACTGACAGTATGGAGTCTGCTTCAAATTCTCTGTCTCCCTCTCTCTCTCTCTCTGCCCCTCCCCCACTCACACACTCTCTCTCAAATATAAATATTTAAAATAAATAAAATCATATAGCCACAAATTTAACAAATCACATCTAAAGACTGTAACATTGATTATGCAGTTTTATAGCCAAACTTGGAAACCTGGTGTTCATAAATAAGAACTTTTATTTTTATTTCTCCAGCCATTAGCAATGATTAAGAGACTGGGTGGTTTATCAGTATCTTTCCATCCACATTCCTATGTCATCTTCAGAGTTAATCGATTCTAGTATTTTAATTTTGATGTGAGGCAAAAATAAAGCACAGGTAAGCAATGCCTTGGGGTCCCAGAGCTGCTAAGCGAGTGTAGTTCTTAATTGTAGAAGAGAATACACACTAACCACTTAAGAGAGGTGTGCACAAAGCCAGTAGATATCATCATGCACTGTCCCGGCCACAGCTGACAAAAGCCCATGGTGACAGCCTACCTTCCCTTCTAAATAGCATTTCATCATTTCTTCCTCTGGATTTCTTTCCCTCTTGGTTCCCTCAGTTGGGGAAGGTTTAGTTTTAAGTAATGATCATCCTTCTCACTTGTTTCTGTCTTTTCTTTTCCCACCTCTCCAAATGGCCTTATCTGCCAGTCACAATTTTTGTGGTCTGCAATTCTGATCACTTTTAAATGAAACCCATGCTGGCTTTGGTAATCATAATGTCATTTACAATTTACCACTAAACACGTTTATTCAGTTAGTAGCACACTGGAGAAAGAGAACTCCATATGAACTCACCGTGAAAGGCCTAATCTGATTATTTCCTCATGAAAATCCAGGCAGGGGTGCTTGTAAGAGGGGCTGAGAGGAGAAGGGGAAAAAAGCAAGGTCTGGCCACAGCTGACTTTCATAATCAATGGGAATAGATAAGTGGCACAGCCTGTCAGGGGCGGCCACCCAGTCACCCCAGGGCATTCTTCTCAAAAAGGCAAGAGTGGACAGGACTTAATAAATGCTGAGTGACCAGTGAGTATTGGTTTGGCATATGCTATTGCATTCAAGGTGGACAAGCACAGTGATAAAGTCCAGAAGCTCTTCTGTAAGTGAGGGAAATTAGATTAAGCAGGTTGTATTTGTGTGTGCATGTGTGCACATGAGCCCTTGCTTTGTGTATACTTTAACATTCTAAAATATCCGAGACATACACTATGCTCCATCCACCTTTCTCTAGATTGGAAACCACAGACCTAAACCATAGACCTAAACACCAGGAAAGGAAGTGAGTTAGTTATGTCCGGTGATGGAGAGGAAAGAGGAAGGGGTGTGTGTGTGTGTGTGTGTGTGTGTGTGCGCGCGCGCTCAGGTTGCTTCCAGGGTTCTAACAAATATTAACTTTGTGTCAATATTTGTCCTTCCTGTCGTGAAATGAGGATTTTCCACCTCATTTCACATTTGAAAAGAAAATATGCCAAAGGGGTCGTCTTTGCTAGGAAAAAAAATTAAAAGAAAAGGAAAAAAAGAAACAACTTCTATCTTTTATTTAGAAAAATGGGTCAGAAGGAAAGAAAAAAAGTATTTTTAAAATAAATGTTTTGACTCAAAGGCACATAAAATCCTTCCATCTTCCCCTTTCAACAAAAGGGAAAAATTTATATGTTTAAAATTGAATGAAATACATCAACATTAATGATTTTTTTCCTTGAGGTTAACATCACCATTTCCCTCAATAACTTTTTTAGCCATTTTGTGATAGATTTCCCAATTTGTGGTACAGTAAAGTATAGGAGATTTTGACAAAAACAAAATATATAATCATTCTCTTATTTTCAAGAAACGAAAAGAAATCATTTACAATTCTTTTCTGTCAAACAACATTTACACCTCATTATTTCTAATTTAACAAATATATATGGCCACAGATCAAATAAAGTGTAGACAGGTTGAATTTATCCCCATTTATATATGTTATTGTAGACCCTCAGGCTATGAAGAGTGAAACTCCAAAATCTCAAAGCTGTGTTCCTAACTAAATACACGGAGAGTAACTGAAATCTTGGAAAGCAGTATTTTCAAAAGTATTTTGTTCATACTAGAAATAATAGACAAAAATTGTCCACTTTTTTAGAATGGGGAATTCTAGTTAAACGTTTAAAAAAAAAAACTTCAAAAAATAATGGCTGTGTGTTATATTTACATGGTGAACTTAGAATGGTGTCTTTATGCATCATAGATTCAATGTAGATGACAGAAACATAAGATTGCTAATTTGGAGTCTAGAATAGAGGTATGTAAAGTCTATTGAGTGACCACAATATGGTGTACTAGTCAGTATAAAAGAGATAAGGTAGATATGCTTGCACATACACTCATTGACACAGATAGTATTACAAGAAAATGTAATTTGAGAAACTTAAAGTTCATTAAATTAAAAAATTAGTGTATTTAGAATTCAGATCTAGGAGCTTCAAAATTAAGGTATTTCCACGTTGTCCTTCATAATTTGTTGAACAGTGGTGCTTAGGAACATAGTCTCCCCTGACATCATTCTAACTGAAAAAGCATTCTTGTTAGAATGGTGATTGGTATAGTGAAGTGGCTTCCAATCCATGGGAGTTATGAGGGGGTGGAAAAGAGAAATCCAAGTGCGGAGATAGCAGTATAGGACTATAGGACTACAGATACTGCACAGGAGGGGTGCCTGAGTGGCTCAGTCAGTTTAAGGGTCTGACTTCAGCTCAGGTCATGATCTCACAGTCCCTGAGTTTGAGCCCCATGTCAGGCTCTGTGCTAATAGCTCAGAGCCTGGAGCCTGCTTCAGATTCTGTGTCTCCTTCTCTCTGCCCTTCCTCTGCTTGCTCTTTGTCTCCCTCCCTCAAAAATAAGTAAATGTTAAAAAAAAATACTGCACAGGAACAGCAAGCTGGAAGTTGTTAGAGGACAAATACATACCTCTGCAGGCATAATGGGAAGATGGACTTCAGGGGCTACAGATTATACTAGGATTTACCACAACTTCATGAACAATCTCACCAGAGTTCTTGAACCTGTGTCTATTTTCAATAGGAATACATTTCCAATCTAATCTGAGAAAAATAGAAAACTATATAAAACCAACCATTACATGAAGGAAGGATGCCTGTAAGGCTTTCTGTGAAAGGTCTTTCTGTCTTTATTAAGTTGTTTGATGAATATTTCCAAATACTTGTTTTCTTTTTATATAGGTGTGACTTTGAGGGGAAAAATGATCAGGAGATTAAGTGATAAAATGACAATGAAGATGAGGGAAGAGCATCAAATTCATATCAAATAGACCCTTCTTCTGAATCAATCATTTTTAAATTAAAAAAAAGTTGTATCGATAAAGTCCATACAAATTTCAGAAGACTATTTTGTATTACTTTACCATATTGAAATGTCATGTATATTTTGGTTAAAATAAGTGGCTTAGAAAATGTTTTTGTATCTTTGTTATGTGTTGTATCATGATTTGCCCTGCAAACACCAGTGGGCATGTATGGTCTCAATTATGACTTTTATTCTTTGAATACTACATTGAAAACAGCCAAAGCAAATGCAAGGGTTAAGAGATCAGGTTTTCTAGCCAGAGAGATTGTCATTGGACTTCCTAGCTGCAAAACCACAGTCAAGTTACTTATCCATTGACTCAGTTAACTCATTTATAAAAGGGATTGAAAATAACACCCAATCCATAGGCAGATAGACAGGAATAAATGAGATGATATATGTGCAGAGTTGATAACAAACACATGTTAATGAATATAAGCTGCTACATTAACCATAATCAAACAAGGAGTATTTTTAAAGATAGTTTGCACCCTTCTTTTATGGCACTATCCTTATCTCAAACTATTAACATTTGCCTTGTAGTCTGAAACCACATCTAGAGGTGTTGCAAGCATTCATGATGAACAGTGTTGAAAAGATACAAGTTACAGGTGAATAAAATGCTAAAATGTAGACATACTATCTAAAATTTTTAGAAAATATGTGCATAAAGAAATACACGCACACACACACATACATGTCTCTAAGTAAGAGATCTATTTTTTTCCACCAATAAAGACATCAATAAAAACCTGCAAAATTGAAGATGGTTTCAACCCTTTAATCTAATCTTAACTTTCCCCTTATTCTTTTGGAAATACTCTCCACCTCTCTCCCCCTTTCTCTCCACCCTCGGATTTCTTTTTTGCTAGCAAACCTTGCCTGCCATCTTTGAACAAAGTGATGTTCATGGTTAGATTACAGGCAGGGGCAGCCAACAGCATTCTTTACAAATACAGGCTGAGCACACTCTTTCCCCGGAATGATAAACCTATCACCTCTCCCGCCCTCAGTTTGAAGCGGCAGCAGTAATTCTGTTGGATGCCAAAACTAAAATCAATGTGCCTGTGCCATGCCCAGCTCTGAGCTGTGGCTGTAATGAGATTTGAATGGGAAGCCCCGGACACAATAAATCTGCGCCATATGTGACCATTTCCTGTGTCAGTTCCTTTCTCATAACCAGTGGAGACTTTTTTCCCCTCTCATGACCCCACACCATGACTCTGAAATCTTTCATGGCTGCTTATGGGCCTCAGGCTTTTTACAGCAGTTGTATAAATAAATGAATTTGACAGCAAACATCATAACAGTTAGCAGTAATGTGTGTTTGCCACAAGTGCCTATACTACTCACTGGAGAAATGGCAGAGGAAACAGCTTGTTTTGTTACCTAAACAAAAGTAGTTTCGTTTGACAAGTGCTGAAAGAATTAGTCAAATAAACTTGAAATCCACTAGGACTGTTTCTGCCAATTCTCCCTGCCAGTGAAATGTTCCCAGCTCCTCTGTGCCCATGACTCACAAGAGATAAATTTCCCTCTTTTATTCTGAGATAAAGATCTGGGCTGGGAATACAAAACCTTTGCCTGATATTTTATATTAATCTCCTTTGCAAGGCAAGACTGTCATTTAGGGGAACTCAGGTACAGCAAAGAGTTTCCAAAGGAACTTGTGGCAGACAGACCAAGGAAGATAGTTCAGGTAGGTAGGAGGGGAGGTGACAGTAATGACCCACCCCACTGATTACCTGTTGAAAGCAAATTGGAGGTTATGAGTGAGGGTTTCCTTTTCCCTCACATTTCCTACATTCAAGAAACAAAAATCTCTACACCAGAAAGTTGCTAAAAGAAAGCAACTTCATTTTCCCTGTATCTCCACAGTCCCAGGAAAATGAAGTTGCCTATACTGGGGCAATTTGTGGTCAATTTAGATAAGCACAAAAAAGCATAGATTTTTCTCAGTCATATGGATTGGTTGTCTATAAGTCCTTAAATTTTTCTACTCCTCTATGGGAATTTCAGTAACTTCTCCATTGTTCCAGCTGTGAAAGAAAGATGTTATAGCTTAGTGATTATTGCTATGGACTCTAGTCCCAACTGCTTAGGTTCAAATCCCAGGTCTGCTACTGACTCTGTGTGATTTCAGGCAAGTAACTTACATTCCCCCTGTGCTTCAGTTTTCTCTTTTGCAAAGTAGGATGAAAAATGGTATGGTATCAAGCTCATAAGGTGGCTGTGTCAAGTGTATTTTAAAGGGCTCAGGACACAAAGGATAAATGAGGACATTATGCTAAGTGAAACAAGCTGGTTTAAAAAAATAAATACTGCATGATAATACTTATATTTGTAATAGTCAAACTCATAGAAACAGAGAATAGAATGGTGGTTGCCAGAGGCTAGAGAAAAAAGGCTCAGAACAGTGGCTGAGACATATTAAGTGTTGTCGTTGTTATTATTATTCCAAACAAAGAAACTTGGATAATGGTCTGTTTAAAAACACTAGAGTTCTTCCCTAGGATAGCTTGATGTTGGCAGCTGATCTGGTAAATAAAATTAACAATGTTGGTGAGAAAAACCATAAGAGCACCTTCACTGAAGTCAATTACAATTAGTTGCAAGATATAGTATATCACTATTTAAATAAAAATATCATCTGGACCTTGACAATATTTTTTACATTTAGGTTATTTTCATTCTTTTTTAAAGTAGTACTCTTTGTCATGGTCAAGTAACTGTTACCTCTAGAATCTTCTTATACTCAACAAAAGTATCACTGATTAGGGGAATAAAAGTTGAGAGTTGTTGCCAACTAACAGATCTTAGGCAGAATCTACATTCTTCTCTCTGTTTCTATCTTTTTTAAATTTACATATTAAAATGGCTCAATAAAGTGTTTTGCTTATGTGATTATATGCAAGAAAGCACCTTAATATTTTAGAAGGTATAGATTATAATCAATATAATAGAAATATTTCAGTATAGAGAGAGCCTACTACCTACACAATAAATTCCTAATGTCTCTGTCTTAACTGACTGACAAATCCATTTAAATATTCATTTTTCCATATCTAGTCAACTATTTCTATGGAGAAAGTCAGAAACATTATTAAATGGAACTGTTTAAAAATAAACAGACTCTTTAAGCTTTGCTCTTAGAGCAGTGCCTAAAAATGGAAAGAAGTGTGTCAGCTGAAGGTAAGGAACCATGTGACTTTATAAAACAATGATGAGCCAGGAGCAGGCAAAGTAGGTTTTGGTTTTGATTTGCCAGGGTGGGTTTTGCTAGAAAACCAAATACATAAAGTGACATCATCCTATGGTAAAACAGCTTTAACTGAGACTCCTTTTACAGTAAAATAAATTGAAAATTTCATCTTACCATTGATTCCTGTGTACAGGCCACAATACTACATCTAGGAAACACCTCTGAAACTGGTCTATGAGAGAATAACTTTGTGCTCTAGGAGATTTACTGTTGAGGAAAGTCATCTGACAAAATGTTTCCCTTGCTACATCTAAATCCTTTTCCAAGATCTGCTCCTAGGATGCATATTCTGATTCACCTTAGGAATCACAAAGGTGAAGAGCACATGAAATGGATAACTCCAGCTATTCACACTCCACATGGCCACCAAGGATGAATAAACACAAAGCAGAGCCATGTCCCCTTTGATTGGCCACTTCTACTGACTCTCAATTAGCAAAAGAATACTGCCACCTTGTAAAGTCTGTTTTGCTGAGTTAAAGAGAAAACTGAGAAGGTAGAGAAATTCTAAAAGACCAGTAGGCTTAATCAAGCATTGTGCAACTGTGAAAATAACCTCTCATCTATTTCTTCATCATTTTCTGGATATAGGTATGAACACCTATACAGGCTAGGCTTATCTCAGGAAGTGACAGGCTTGTATTTTCCCATCCTGTTGAGGTTGAGTAGAATCATCATTTAGTCATCTATCATTGAGCAGAGGTAACAAGTGTCTCTTTGGGGCCATAAAATTTAACTGAAAGAGTTTGCAAACTATAGGCCATAGGCCAAGTCCAGCCCACTGGCTACTGTAAATAAAGTTTTATTGGAACACAGCCCATATTATAAACTATTGTAAACTCTGCTTTTGCACTGCAATAGCAGAGTTGAGTAATTGTGACAGAAACTCTATGGACTTGAAGGTGAAATTGCAAATGCTTACTGTCTAGCCCTTTACAGAAAATGTATGTCAATCCCTACTCTAAGAGTTCTAAGTCTGTCTCTGAGGCAGTGAGGAGCAAAGTACAAGATGAAAGCTTATCTCAGCCTAGGTTCCTGCCAACCAGAGATAGACAAGAGTAAGCAACAAATAGACCTTTGTTGTTTTAAGCTATTGAGATTTGCAAGTTGTGCATTATGGCATCTTAACCTACCTTACTCTGATGGATATAGCATCCTTACAATTCTTATGTGTATCTTTTTCTCTGCACATACATAATATATTCTGCTTTAGGGAAGGGAACAAAAAGCATAAGAGGACTTTGTTTTTCTTTTTTTTTCTTGTCTTCAGGAGACAGGATGAGGACATGAAATGTTTGAGTTCTCAGTCAACATTTGGACTGGAATTTTTCCCTTCCTAAAGCTTATCCCACTATATGTCTCATTTAATACCTGAGAATCCATCTTCTCTGTTAAAGCTCTTTGAAAATTTGTCCCACAAATCTCTACAAACCTGCTTTCTTTGCCATGGCAATATAAAGATGAAATTTCCTAAATATATTGCACAGAGAAGGTTGTTGAAGTAATTAGGGGAAAAGATTTCCATAAGCCCAGAATTGGCATGCTGAAGTCTTTCAGAATGAGCTCCTGCATTTGGGCTTTGGCAGTTCTAATATGGGTGGAAAATGCATAGAGCTGGCTATACTTGCTTATTTTGCTATGTTCAGATCTTCTCCTTTGGAGGAAAAAGAAACAGGTCCATTTTTTGGCAGAAAACAATGTGATCTCTTTCAACCTCACAGAAGAGCAAGCTAACTGGAGAGCCTGACACTGATACTGCTTTTTGGAAGCAG